GCTTCTTGGCCAAGTTAGACCTTTCATCTTATTCTTAAAGAAATTGCTCTTCTGAGTGCTTCTTTTCTTTGGCTTAAACAGATGAGGTAAGATTTTCCAACAACATGCTGTGATTTCTTATCTGATCTTTAACCCTAGAACACTAACCATGGGTATATAGTACCCAGCGCAAATTTTCCTATTTTTAATTACAATTTTCAGTATCTGATTTTCTTACCTAAATAATGTTTTTCAGTTCCTATTGATGTTAACTCAAAATACAAAATTTGAAGTGCCTGCATGTAAAATATTTCAAATAAAGTTTTATATTTAATATTTTTTTTGATATTTTCAAAATCAGGTATGATATACCCATGGTTAGTAGTGGTGTAATTGATGGTTAGTGTTCTAGGGTTAAGCTATTTTAAGATGAAGGACAGTTTTAGTGAAAAGGGAAACAAAAGGGACACTTATACTTAACATCAGGAAGAGTTAGTTGAAATTTCTAGGGTGTGTCATGAGGAAATAGAGCTGGAAAACTTGATACACACAGGACAGATTGAAGGCAAGAGTGACAGTGGAAAACCATGCATAACATACTTGGCAAGCTTAAGTGAATGGATAGCAGAAAAAGATTTAGGAGAGCTAACAAAAAAGTCAGAATTTATTAAGAGCTACAAAAGATGGGAAATTGTGGTGAGCCATGACAGCCAATATCCTGAAGGGATATGGCACTTAGAAGAAAACTTTGCTTTATGTTGCAAAAGCACATCACACATCTTCAAATGTGGCCTAGCTTGAAAAAACATTACTGTGAATTTTAACAAAATTTTCACAGCATCAGAATTGACAGTCATTAGTCATAAGCTCTAAAAATATAACACATTTTTGGCCCCAAAACACAGTGGCCATCACTTTCCAAGTGATTTTTGTTGCAAGCTATGTTCTGGCCAGCCCTGCACAGCTGTCAGCCCATAAAATGAGGAGTGCCTTAAAAGTGGTGGTGACTGAAAAAAATAGTGTTTTCTAATTGAAAACCTGCTCTATCCAATAATGTTATTGTGCTCTCTGCATCTGCTATACGAGAGTCAGCTGAAAAGCTCATAGGCGAAATAAGATTCTCTCATGGAATGTGACAAGATGAGGTTTATTTTTCAACATAGTTCCCCTTGCGATCCACACACTTCTTCCATTGGTGTTGCTGTGCTTTGATTGCATTGGTGAAAAATTTTTCATCCTGTTTGTAAAAAAAGTCATCAAAAGCAGATATAGCATCACCACTATGATACTGGTTCCCAGCCAAGTGTTTTTCCATATTGGAGAACAGACAATTGTCAGATGGGGCCAAATCAGGAGTATAGGAAGGGTGATCAACCAGTTCAAAGACTCAGTCTTGTTCACAACCATTGAAACCAAGGACGAGTGTTGATGAAACAAGACTGCCTCTACCAGTTTAACTGGACATTTGGTCATGATAGCCATTTGTAACTGCTTCAGTAAGTTGGCATAGTACTCTCCATTGATAAAGCTGGAGCATTAAGCCCTAATACAGCAAACGTGTCAGCATGAATGTTTTTGGGACCTAAACCTTGATAACAATTTTGTCCATTTTCAGAAGTCACTACTAGTTACTTTTGAAGTCGTCTTTGAACAATCAGATGTCAGTTTACCTGGAAAGAAACAATGTAGTTATTAATAAGAAGAGTTGAAATCAATGAATACAAGAGTTCACAGTGCTAGTCTATGAACTTTTCAGCCTATCCTTGTTTCATTTATTTTATCAGTTTATGGCTACTGACAAACTTTTGTGACAAAATGTAATGCATAAATTTATCAAAAAGAGGAGGCTTGCGAACTTATCAATTTTTATAACAATATGATTGTTAAAAAACGTGACATAGCCTCAAATCACTTTGTTTACTGGCAAGTTTTTATTTATTTATCTTTTCTAAGGCTATTATAATTTATCTGGCTTATTTCAGCTATTTCTAATTTGTAGAACCAAAATGTCTGCTTCATATTATTTTATGTGAATTTTTTTTATCTCCTAAAGTTTTAATTTAGTTTAAAATATGTTACTGTTTTTAACTTTGAAGTGACATTTTGAAAATAATATGGTGGATGAAAAGATTCAGTTTCAACAGTTTTTTGGGGTTTTTGTATTTTTCTTTTTTTTTTTTTTTGGTTGCCTGAAGATGGAATGAACTATTATGGCAAGATGACCTGGTAATATGACTTATATGATCATAATTCAAAGATGACCTTTGCACTTGTACTTTCTGTTGGTCAGAATAAAAAAAAAATACTTCCATATATGCTGCATCTAGAAATTTTATTTATTTCTAAAAATTGTTTAGAAGAATTGGATAAACTTTGTTAAATGATTTGTTCATATTCAGCAATTAATTTGCTTTTTGTTAATCAGCTATAAACCAACAGATATTTCCAAAAAAAAAAAAATAAATAACTTCATCATCAAGGAAGAAGTTTTCTAAATCCACAACAAAAAAACAAAAAAACATTGGGAATGTGCAGGTAGTGTAACATATAGCAGCTTGGAATAACAAATCAGAGTTTGAATTCCAGTCTCGTTTGTTACATTTCCTTACATGCAAAAATACCATTGAAAAAGTTAAAAATCCACCTTTTCTTTCCCCTGCTGTGGGTTAATTAATAGAACTTGTATCAGTAAAAATTACTATCTCCCAAATAAGTCTTACAATCTAAAAATATTTTCTGGCTTTAAAGTAACCTGTAAAAGGTTAAGCTGTAAAATACAAATCAATCAATCAATCTGAGCTCATAGTAGGACTTGTATCCGAAAATCATTGTTGTTCTCAAAAAATTGTTAATGCAATATTCACCTAGATAAAAAGAAAAAAAATCTTACAATCCAAAGTATTTTCAGCTTTAAATAACCCACAAAGGGTTGATAAAACATAAAGCAAATCAATCAATCCCAACTGTGGTCTTAAGTTGAAATATTGTTGTTGCTTTTTTTTTTTTTTTATTTAGGCAGACTTATTAATTGGAGAAAAAACATCTAATTACAATGTCTTTTGTTAAAAAATACCAAATGAAAAACTAAACTTACTTGATAATAAAGAAAATTATTCTGAACAAAACCTTTTGTTACTTATAAAATGGGTAATTCAGATCATCAAAGACAATAACGGAAGATCCAAGTGCATATTTCCAAGATTATGGTTGACTATTTTTTTAAAACTTACCCCATTTTTACCTTTTTACTTTACAGTGTTTTGCTTACAAAACTTTTTTTCTTTTGTATTTTTTCCAGATTTGCTCCCTCCTAAATCAAAGTAGATATGTCTGGCAGAAAACGAAATAGAAACAGGGAAGTGGTGATGCCAGCCGCAGGCTCTTCAGATTCACCTCCGCCATTACAGCTTCCCCGTCTTGTGACTAGTGTAAGGATTTTTTTTTTTTTGTGTATCTTGTCATTGCTTAACTATAAATTCCATAAAATCTAGGATTTTTTTCCATAAATTTAAGTTTTTTTTTTTTTTTTTTTTTTGTGCTTAATGAATGTCAAATACATTTCTACTCTCAAAATCCAATAACTCTGTATTTACAAATTACTTGTCAATTCACCAATCCACTTCGTTGTAATAAATTCACCTATGCCATTCAGGGATCATTACATTTTAGCCGATTATTACAGTATTCTAGATTCAGGTAAAGTACTGATAGTCTGTGGCACCTGGATAAACATTAATCTGCAAAATTCTATACGAGACAAGAGTAATATTTTTTTCATCCGGCTATGATTCTTCCCCATTGCTCCTGCTCATGGACAAATGTGCACAGTGTATCAGCCTCCAGTGGGGTGTTCCCAGCTGGCAGAATGCTGCCCATGACAAGCAGATCTGTAGTACTAAATGGCCCATCATGAATTTGAAGAATTTGCAAGTTAGACTCAATGGAAATAAGAGAGATAACTGAGCAGTACTAAATAAATTCAACAAGATCTCCGTAGACCATGGCCAGCTGAATTAGAACAATCTAGTTCTGTAGATTATATGACGTGTTCAGTTCAAAATTCCTTATAGATTACCTGGATTGACAAGCACCTGATAAAGGCTGAGGGTATGACAGCCAAAAACATTGTGATGATAACGAAGGTGAGGACAATAGACAGAGGACTTACCACATTGAAATACTGGTTCTTGTATGCTCACTGAATGTAACCAGTGTCAAACCAGGTTAGCACTTCTATATGTGACTGCTTGGGAATACCAGGTGTTGTAAGCTTTGATATGCAGCTGGTGTAATGGATACTGGCTCAGAATTTTCTAATTCCACTCAGGTTTGTTATATTCACTTAATGTGCAAATACCCTTGGGAAAGGTATGGATCTACCTCATCTCCCCAATCTATGGATTAATTAGAACTTTTATCACTAAATCATTATTTCCAAAATAATTCTTTCAATCTAAGAATATTTTCTGCCTTTAAATAACTTGCAAAAGTTGATAAACTGTAAAAAAAAAACAAATCAATCAATAGACAGTAAATAATCTAAAGAGTGCCCCCCCCACTATATTTGTACGTTCACTTTCTTGGAGTGGTTAACTCACTATGATGGTGTTAAAAGAAATCAGCAGCCAACAAATATTGAAAAAACACAATCTTGATATCACTTTTCCCATCAGGATATATGTTGTTACTTTTGGGCCCTGTGTTGAATTTCTGAGATAAATAAGATGTGTTTATATTAGTGGTTTTAATTTCACAAACACCTATTAATGTTCCAGTGTGCTTCTCTCGGTAACAATACAGATTTTTATCACTTTGATAATAGCTCATAATTTTTTTTATTTTTTTTTTATGTAGAATATAAAATAGAATTTCACCAAAGTTAGAATAATTATAATTTTTTCTCTTAGTATTTAATAGCAGCATATCAACTTAGTGTAAAGCATTTTTGGTGAAAAAAAAAAAATTGTAATAAATATTTTCATGGGTGAAAATAAGAAAAACTTGGAAATTTATTGATTCAGATCACATTTGTATTGTTATTTTTTGTTTGTTTTTAATTTCTTCTTTATTTTCTTTCCTTTTTCTTCCTTTCTTTTTCTCTTCACTTTATTTCTCTTTTACTCTTCTCTCTCTCTTGCTCTTCTCTCTTGCTCTTCTCTCTTGCTCTTCTCTCTTGCTCTTCTCTCTTGCTCTTCTCTCTGTCTCTCTTGCTCTTCTCTCTGTCTCTCTTGCTTCTCTCTCTCTCTCTTGCTCTTCTCTCTGTCTCTGTCTCTGCTCTTCTCTCTCTCTCTTCTCTGTCTCTTTGCTCTCTGTCTCTCTTGCTCTTCTCTCTGTCTCTCTTGCTCTTCTCTCTGTCTCTCTTGCTCTTCTCTCTGTCTCTCTTGCTCTTCTCTCTGTCTCTCTTGCTCTTCTCTCTGTCTCTCTTGCTCTTCTCTCTCTCTGTCTTCTCTCTGTCTCTTCTCTCTCTCTGTCTCTCTTGCTCTTCTCTCTGTCTCTCTTGCTCTTCTCTCTGTCTCTCTTGCTCTTCTCTCTTTCTCTTCTCTCTTTTTGTCTTTTTTTTCTCCTTTTTTTTCTGTGAGTGTGAAACTAAAACTTTTTTTTCTGTGAATGAAATAACTCATTACTCACTTTTCTTGGAAGGTAAAATAGTTGGAAAGAATCTGTTTTTGTTCTTTAGTTCATATTTAGGTTATTCTTTCATTTTGTCTTCAGTGTCTTATGCTGTGGACAGAATATTGATAATAATATTCAGGATTATTTTATATTTAAATGATAAACCATGGTAACTATGTGCTTTTTTAGCTTCATTTCAGGTCTAACAAAATTTGATGAAATTGAGAATACTGAGAAAAAAAAAATCTTAAAATTTAAAAAAAAAAAAATTACTATAGCCTTTGGGATTACATTTTTAATTAAATTGTTTGAATGACAAAAACTGATAGTTTGTAAAAGAATTTTTACTATTTACCTTAATCTATTATTGTGAATTTTGTTACAAGATATGTTCAGTATCAAATAATCTAAAGAAGGATTAATATGTCATTAAATTAACTTCTTTTTTTTTTCTAGGTTTATATTTATGATTTATAAGAAATAATTTTTATATATATATATATATTTTTTTTTTATCAGAGTCCAGGCTCAGCTCCCTTTCATTATGAAGAACCTGCCATCACCGAGAGAAACAACTGTGATTATTCCATAAAAATTACTTTGGAAATGGCAAAAAGAGATGAAGGTAAACCAATTTATTTTAATCATCTTAGTGGCTTAAATTCTACACAATGTTACTATATATTGCAATATATTTTTATTAAGTAATTTATTTATATCTATTATTATATATTACTATTTATTACTATACTATTTTAAGTATATACTAATTTAGTTTTATCTTAAGATCAATAAGAATTGTATTCACTACAGGTGTAATGGTGTAAAATTATATACTTTTAAATACTGTTATGCTTTTTGTTTACTCAATCATTTCACCTCAAACAAGACAATAAAGCAACTAAGATGCGGGGGGGGGTACTGAGTGTGAAAGAATGAGAAAAATAAAAACATTAAGGATAAAACAATAAAAGAACAGAAATTAAGAAGACAGAAGATAATGATTGATATTGCATTTAAATTTTTGATGGTCATGGTTGACTGGGGAAACAAGAAGCTGGAAGAGAGTTCCATAAGTGAGAAATGCAAGAAAAAGAACTGTTAGCAAAGAACTTATGACTACATTTAGCCATTTCAATGATAAAATGATGAGACCTTGCCATTGATCTAGTACTGTGTTTAAATTTGTAAAGCTGGAGTACCAAAGAGGAAAATTCATCAGAACAAATAGCATGAAAATATTTATATAAGAGGCACAGGGAAATTGTTACAGTGCTGGCAAAATGACTAAAACTGAGATTCCAAGTCAGGGTTGATAATAGTGCAAATTCTTCTTTAGATTTTATCAAGACTAGTTCTACAATGCACTATAATATATATATTTTATATGGTATACTGATATATTTCTTTCTGTATGAATTTCTGCGATGAGTAGTTATTTTTATTTATACTATTTACATTCTGACTATTGTACTCCTGTTGTTTTATCACAATGTTTTGACTTGTGTAACAGGGAAGTGGTCTTAATTGAGTCATACTAGTGCATGGAAAGTGGTCAGTGACTTGAAGTATTGAGAGACCTGATAATTTTGAGCAAAGATATTAGTAGGAGAAAAATATGGGAGAGTGTTTATTCGGATTGGAATCTGATGAAAAATGTCCTATTTAAAAATATTAATTTAAATCCATAAAATACTTAAAAGGAGGGCTTCGGAAGAGTTTGAACGGAAATTAAACTAAGAAAGATTTAATAAGATTCAGCATAATTTATCCCACTGGCCCAACTCCATAATCCCAAGGAAGTTGACATGACTAATGAGTTTGTCGCACTTCACAGGATTTTCAGTCACTCTAAGATTTGTTTATTTAGAGACATATTTGTTGTATTTGTATTTATTTCAGTGTAATTTTGGAAGATTGAAAATTCAGGCCCAAACTGAGAAACACTTCATAGCTAGCCATTTGACCTCCAAAAGGTTCTTTTTTTTTTTCTTTTTGAGATACTAATTAATCTTTCCTATTTCACAGGTGTAAGTCTATATAAACAGAATATGCATGCACATGAGAGTAGGAGTTTGATACTCAATGAGTTGGAGGCACTCGCATGCCCTCTTCAGTGTGTATTTGGAAGTGGAAATGGAATGAGCAATAACTGACCAGTACTTAAAAAAATAAATATGAACTAGTCAAGATATACTTAGACATGAGCAGCAGAACATGAACTGTTTACTTCCATAAATTAAAGAAAGTGTTCAGTTCAAACAGGAAATGTTTAGAAATTTAACATTTCGCTCATATTTAAGCTTCATCTGAAATAAAACATGGAGGATAAAAGAAAATTCTGGCATTTTTATTTTTGTGGTGTTTGTTTTACATTGTGTTAAGCAGACCTAACATGTATCTGTTCAAAAATAAAAATACCAGAATTTTCTTTTCTCCTCCATGTTTCATTTTTTGAGAAGCTTAAATAAAAAGGAAAAATGTTAAATTTATAAACGTTTACTATTGGTTCCTTATCCTATCATTTGGTCAGATTCTAATCGATATTTTATCTGTATTTGATCCTAATTTATATTGTTCTGTATTTTGTTATATACATTATTTATCTACCCAATTATTTATTTTATGATATGATCTGCTTTATCCAAGAGCCATTCTTAGTAATAAATTTTTTAATAGGTGTTCAAAACATGTATTGTTCTGGTGAGAAAAAAAAATTAGCAGAATAATGCCATATTAGGAATTTGGATTCTTGGGGTGGCACAATGGTTATTAACTGTTTTCTTGGAACTTTTCCAGGTCGAAAAGTTCGAGTGTATGCTGATGGTATTTATGATATGTTTCACAGTGGACATGCACGCCAGCTTATGCAAGCCAAAATGGCTTTCCCAAATGCTTATCTCATTGTTGGGGGTAAGAAAATTTTAACATCCTTACATTTCTTATCAAACATATTTCTTTTTCTCCATCTTCGGCAAATTTCATATTTTACTACATTTCATTAGAAATTTTCTTTATTTCAATAAATGCCAATTTTTCTGTGATATTGTTTACCCGATTCCTTGTGATTTGTTTCTCTCCCTCTTTTTCATTACTTTGCAACCTTACTCTCTCACTTTTTCTCTCATTCTTTGCCAATCTCACTATCTTAGCTCTGGAAAATATGATAATTGGCTGCACTCTTCTGTCTGTCTGTCTGTCTCTCTCTCTCTCTCAAATATTTTGCTCTCGCTGAAATATTTCGCTCGCTCTCTCTCTCTCACACATTTCACTTTCTCTCTCTCTCTCTGTAATATTTTGCTTTCTCTCTCTCTCTCTCCAATATTACACTCGTTCGCTGTCTCTTCAATATTACGCTCGTTCTCTCTCTCTCTCTCTCTCTCTCTCTCTCTCTTTCTCAATCTATCAATCTATCTCTCTCTCTCCAATATTACGCTCTCTCTCTCTCTCTCTCTCTCCAATATTTCATTTTCTATCTCTCTCTCTCTCTCAAATATTTCATTATCTATCAATCTCTCTCTCTCTCTCAATATGTTTCATTATCTATCAATCTCTCTCTCTCTCAATATTCATTATCTTCTCTCTCTCTCTCTCAATATGTTCATTTATCTATTCTCTCTCTCTCTCAATATTCATTTATCTCTCTCTCTCTCTCAATATGTTCATTTATCTATTCTCTCTCTCTCTCAATATGTTCATTATCTATCTCTCTCTCTCTCTCTCAATATGTTCATTTCGTTCTCTCTCTCTCTCTCAATATTTTCATTTTATCTATCAATCTCTCTCTCTCTCTCAATATTCATTCGTTCTCTCTCTCTCAATCTCTCTCTCTCTCTCTCTCTCTCTCAATTCATTATCTATCAATCTCTCTCTCTCTCTCAATATTTCATTATCCTTCAATCTCTCTCTCTCTCAATAATATTTATCTATCAATTCTCTCTCTCTCTCAATATTTCTCGTTCTCTCTCTCTCTCTCTCTATATCTGTTCTTATCTATCAATCTCTCTCTCTCTCTCTCAATATGTTCATTATTCTCTCTCTCTCTCTCCAATATTACGCTCGTTCTCTCTCTCTCTCTCCAATATTACGCTCGTTCTCTCTCTCTCTCTCAATATGTTCATTATATTCTCTCTCTCTCTCTCTCAATATTTCATTATCTATCGTTCTCTCTCTCTCTCTCTATCAATCTATCTCTCTCTCTCAATATATTCATTTCGTTCTCTCTCTCTCTCTCTATCAATCTATTCTCTCTCTTCTCTCTCTCTCTCTCCAATATTACGCTCGTTCTCTCTCTCTCTCTCCAATATTTTCATTATCTATTCTCTCTCTCTCTCTCTCAATATGTTCATTATTCTCTCTCTCTCTCTCTCTCAATATTTCTCGTTCTCTCTCTCTCTCTCTCTATATTTCATTATCTATCAATCTCTCTCTCTCTCTCCAATATGTTTCATTTATCTCGTTCTCTCTCTCTCTCTCAATATTTCATTATCTATCTCTCTCTCTCTCTCTCAATATTTTTCATTATCTCTCTCTCTCTCTCTCTCAATATTCGCTCGTTCTCTCTCTATCTCTCTCTCTATCAATATCATTCTCTCTCTCTCTCTCTCAATATTTTCATTATCTATCAATCTCTCTCTCTCTCTCTCTATCAATCTATTCTCTCAATATTTCGTTCTCTCTCTCTCTCTCTCTCAATATTTCATTCGTTCTCTCTCTCTCTCTCAATATTTCATTCGCTCTCTCTCTCTCTCTCTCAATATTTTCATTATCTCAATCTCTCTCTCTCTCTCAATATTCGCTCATCTCTCTCTCTCTCTCTCAATATCTCTCTCTCTCTCTCTCTCTCTCAATATATTATCATTTCTCTCTCTCTCTCTCTCAATATGTTCATTTCTCTCTCTCTCTCTCTCAATATGTTCATTATCTATCAATCTCTCTCTCTCTCAATATTTTCGCTCTATCTCTCTCTCTCTCTCTCAATATTTTTTCATTCTCTTCTCTCTCTCTCAATATTTTCATTTATCTATCAATCTCTCTCTCTCTCAATATATTTCATTATCTATCAATCTCTCTCTCTCTCAATATGTTTCATTATTCAATCTATCTCTCTCTCTCAATATGTTTCATTTATCTCTCTCTCTCTCTCTCAATATCTATCATTCTCTCTCTCTCTCAATATTACAATCTATCTCTCTCTCTCCATGTTCCTTATCTATCAATCTCTCTCTCTCTCTCAATATATTTCATCGTTCTCTCTCTCTCTCTCAATATATTTCATCGTCTCTCTCTCTCTCTCTCAATATTTCATTATCTCTCTCTCTCTCTCTCTCTCAATATGTTCATTCGTATCAATCTCTCTCTCTCTCAATATTTCATTATCTATCAATCTCTCTCTCTCTCTCCAATATTATCTATCAATCTCTCTCTCTCTCTCAATATATTTCATTATCTATCTCTCTCTCTCTCTCTCAATATTTCATTATCTATCAATTCTCTCTCTCTCTCAATATATTTCATTTCTCTATCTCTCTCTCTCTCTCTCTCTCAATATTTCATTTATCTATCTCTCTCTCTCTCTAATATTTTTCGTTCTCTCTCTCTCTCTCTCTCTCTCTCTCTCTCAATATGTTCAATCTATCTCTCTCAATCTATTCTCTTCTCTCTCTCTCAATATTTTCATTTCTATTCTCTCTCTCTCTCAATATCAATCTATCTCTCTCTCTCTCAATATGTTCATTATCTTCAATCTATCTCTCTCTCTCAATATGTTCATTTCTATCTCTCTCTCTCTCTCTCAATATGTTCATTTATCGTTCTCTCTCTCTCTTATCTCATTATCTATCAATCTCTCTCTCTCTCTCAATATTTTCATTATCTATCAATCTATCTCTCTCTCTCAATATGTTTCATTATCTATCAATCTCTCTCTCTCTCTCAATCATGTTCTATCAATCTATCTCTCTCTCTCTCAATATGTTCATTTATCTATCAATCTGTCTCTCTCTCTCTCAATATGTTCATTATCTATCAATCTCTCTCTCTCTCTCAATATTCATTATCTATCAATCTATCTCTCTCTCTCTCTCTCTCTCTATCTCTCTCTCTCAATATGTTCATTATCTATCAATCTATCTCTCTCTCTCTCAATATGTTCATTATCTATCAATCTATCTCTCTCTCTCAATATGTTCATTATCTATCAATCTATCTCTCTCTCTCTCAATATGTTCATTATCTATCAATCTATCTCTCTCTCTCTCACTCTCTCTCTCTCAATGTTTATTCTATCTCTCTCTCTCTCTCTAATCAATCTCTATCAATCTCTCTCTCTCTCAATATGTTCATTATCTATCAATCTATCTCTCTCTCTCTCATATGTTTCATTATCTCCACAATCTCTCTCTCTCTCAATATGTTTCATTATCTCAATCAATCTCTCTCTCTCAATATATTTCATTATCTATCAATCTCTCTCTCTCTCAATATGTTTCATTATCTATCAATCTCTCTCTCTCTCAATATGTTCATCTATCTCTCTCTCTCTCTCTCTCTCTCTCTCTCAATATGTTCATTATCTATCAATCTATCTCTCTCTCTCTCTATCTCATTATCTATCAATCTATCTCTCTCTCTCATATGTTCATTATCTATCAATCTATCTCTCTCTCTCTCTCAATATGTTCATTATCTATCAATCTATCCCTCTCTCTCTCTCAATATTATATTTCAATCTCTCTCTATCTCTCAATATGTTCATTATCTATCTCTATCTCTCTCTCTCATATGTTCATTATCTATCAATCTATCTCTCTCTCTCAATATATTTCATTATCTATCAATCTCTCTCTCTCTCTCAATATGTTTCATTATCTATCAATCTATCTCTCTCTCAATTTCTATCTTCAATCTATCTCTCTCTCAATCATTATCTATCAATCTCTCTCTCTCAATATGTTCTATCTTATCTATCAATCTCTCTCTCTCTCTCAATATGTTCATTATCTATCAATCTATCTCTCTCTCTCAATATGTTCATTATCTATCAATCTATCTCTCTCTCTCTCAATATGTTCATTATCTATCAATCAATCTATCTCTCTCTCTCAATATGTTCATTATCTATCAATCTATCTCTCTCTCTCTCAATATGTTCATTATCTATCAATCTATCTCTCTCTCTCAATATGTTCATTATCTATCAATCTATCTCTCTCTCTATATGTTCATTATCTATCAATCTATCTCTCTCTCTCAATATGTTCATTATCTATCAATCTATCTCTCTCTCTCTCAATATGTTTATTGTCTCAATATATCTCTCTCTCTCATTATCATTATCATCATCTATCTCTCTCTCAATATGTTCTATCAATCTATCTCTCTCTCTCTCAATATGTTCATTATCTATCAATCTATCTCTCTCTCTCAATATGTTCATTATCTATCAATCTATCTCTCAATATGTTCATTATCTATCAATCTATCTCTCTCTCTCAATATGTTCATTATCTATCAATCTATCTCTCTCTCTCTCTCAATATGTTCATTATCTATCAATCTATCACTCTCTCTCTCAATATGTTCATTATCTATCAATCTATCTCTCTCTCTCAATATGTTCATTATCTATCAATCTATCTCTCTCTCTCAATATTATCTATCAATTATCTCTCAATCTATCAATCTATCTCTCTCTCAATATGTTTCATTATCTATCAATCTATCTCTCTCTCTCAATCTCTCTCTATCTCTCAATCTGTCTCTCTCTCTCTCTATATCAATCTCTCTCTCTCTCTCAATATGTTCATTATCTATCAATCTCTCTCTCTCTCAATATCATTATCTATCAATCTATCTCTCTCTCTCTCAATATGTTCATTATCTATCAATCTATCTCTCTCAATCATTATCTATCAATCTATTCTCTCTCTCTATCAATATCTATCAATCTCTCTCTCTCTCTCAATATGTTTCATTATCTATCAATCTATCTCTCTCTCAATATATTTCATTTATCCATCAATCTCTCTCTCTCTCAATATGTTCATTATCTATCAATCTCTCTCTCTCTCAATATCTCTCAATCTCTCTCTCTCTCAATATCTATCAATCTATCTCTCTCTCTCTCCAATATGTCATTATCTCTCTCTCTCTCAATATTTCTTATCTCTCTCTCTCTCTCAATATGTTCATTATCTATCAATCTCTCTCTCTCTCTCAAATATTTTCATTATCTATCTCTCTCTCTCTCAATATATTTCATTATCTATCAATCTATCTCTCTCTCTCAATATGTTTCATTTCTCTATCAATATGTTCATTATCTATCTCTCTCTCTCTCAATATGTTTCATTATGTTCTCTCTCTCTATCTCAATCTTATCTATCTCTCTCTCTCTCAATATGTTCATTTATCTATCAATCTCTCTCTCTCCAATCTATTTCAATCTATCAATCTATCTCTCTCTCTCAATATTTTCATTATCTTCAATCTTCTCTCTCAATATGTTCATCTCAATCTCTCTCTCTCAATATGTTTCATTATCTATCAATCTATCTCTCTCTCTCTCAATATATTTCATTATCTATCAATCTATCTCTCTCTCTCAATATGTTTCATTATCTATCAATCTATCTCTCTCTCTCAATATGTTCATTATCTATCAATCTATCTCTCTCTCTCTCAATATGTTCATTATCTATCAATCTATCTCTCTCAATCCATATCTCTCTCAATCAATCTCTCTCTCTCTCTCTCTTTCATTATCTATCGATCTCTCTCTCTCTCTCAATATGTTTCATTATCTATCAATCTATCTCTCTCTCAATATGTTCATTTATCTCTCTCTCTCTCAATATATTTCATTATCTATCAATCTATCTCTCTCTCTCAATATGTTCATTATCTATCAATCTCTCTCTCTCTCAATATATTTCATTATCTCTCAATCTCTCTCTCTCTCTCAATATGTTCATTATCTATCAATCTATCTCTCTCTCTCAATATGTTCATTATCTATCAATCTATCTCTCTCTCTCAATATGTTCATTATCTATCAATCTGTCTCTCTCTCTCTCTCAATATCTTTCAATCTATCTATCTCTCTCAATATGTTCATTAATCTCTATCTCTCTCTCTCAATATGTTCATTATCTATCAATCTCTCTCTCTCTCTATCAATATATCTTTCATTATCTATCAATCTATCTCTCTCTCTCTCTCAATATGTTTCATTATCTATCAATCTATCTCTCTCTCTCAATATGTTCATTATCTCTCTCTCTCTCTCTCTCTCAATATATTTCATTATCTATCAATCTATCTCTCTCTCTCTCTCATATTTCATTATCTATCAATCTATCTCTCTCTCTCTCAATCTATCTCAATATCTATCATTCTAATCTCTCTCTCTCTCTCTATATTTTCTTATCTATCAATCTATCTCTCTCTCTCAATATCTCAATCTCTCTCTCTCTCTCTCAATATTTTCATTATCTATCAATCTATCTCTCTCTCTCTCAATATGTTTCATTATCTATCATCTCTCTCTCTCTCAATATTTCTCAATATCTCTCTCTCTCATTCAATCTATCAATCTCTCTCTCTCAATATGTTCATTATCTATCAATCTCTCTCTCAATCTCCAATATTATCTCTCTCTATCTCTCTCTCTCTATGTTCATTATCTATCAATCTATCTCTCTCTCTCTCAATTTTTCCTATCTATCAATCTCTCTCTCTCTCAATATGTTCATTATCTATCAATCTATCTCTCTCTCTCTCTCTCAATATATTTCTGTCTCTCTATCAATCTATCTCTCTCTCTCTCTCTCTTCATTATCTATCAATCTATCTCTCTCTCTCTCTCAATCATTCTCTATCAATCTATCTCTCTCTCTCCCAATATCAATCTATCTCTCTCTCTCTCTCTCATATATTTTATTATCTATCAATCTATCTCTCTCTCAATATATTCATTATCTATCTCTCTCTCTCTCTCCCATATTTTCATTATCTATCAATCTCTCTCAATATCTTTCTCTCTCTCTCAATCTTATCCTCTCTATCTCTCTCTCAATATGTTCATTATCTCTCTATCTCTCTCTCTCAATATGTTCATTATCTATCAATCTATCTCTCTCTCTCTCAATATGTTCATTATCTATCAATCTATCTCTCTCTCTCTCAATATGTTCATTATCTATCAATCTATCTCTCTCTCTCAATATGTTCATTATCTATCAATCTATCTCTCTCTCTCTCTCTCAATATGTTCATTATCTATCAATCTCTCTCTCTCAATATGTTCATTATCTATCAATCTATCTCTCTCTCTCAATATGTTCATTATCTATCAATCAATCTATCTCTCTCTCTCAATATATTTCATTATCTCTCAATCTCTCTCTCTCTCAATCTCTATTTATTTCATTATCTATCAATCTATCTCTCTCTCTTCAATATCTATCAATCTATCTTATCTATCAATCTATCTCTCTCTCTCTCAATATGTTCATTATCTATCAATCTATCTCTCTCTCTCAATATGTTCATTATCTATCAATCTATCTCTCTCTCTCAATATGTTCATTATCTATCAATCTATCTCTCTCTCTCAATATGTTCATTATCTATCAATCTCTCTCTCTCTCTCTCAATATGTTCATTATCTATCAATCTATCTCTCTCTCAATATGTTCATTATCTATCAATCTATCTCTCTCTCTCAATATGTTCATTATCTATCAATCTATCTCTCTCTCTCAATATGTTCATTATCTATCAATCTCTCTCTCTCAATATATTTTTATCTATCTATCAATCTATCTCTCTCTCAATATCTCAATCAATCATCTCATATGTTTCAATCTCTCTCAATCTATCTCTCTCAATATGTTCATTATCTATCAATCTATCTCTCTCTCTCTCAATATCTCTTATCTATCTCTATCAATCCTCTCTCTCAATATTTCTCTCTCTCTATCTCTCTCTCAATCTATCAATCTCTATCTCTCTCTCTCAATATTTCATTTTCTATCAATCTATCTCTCTCTCTCCATGTTATTTCTCAATCTATCTCTCTCTCTCTCAATATGTTTATCTCACTCTCTCTCAATATGTTCATTATCTATCAATCTATCTCTCTCTCAATATGTTCATTATCTATCAATCTATCTCTCTCTCTCAATATGTTCATTATCTATCAATCTATCTCTCTCTCTCAATATGTTCATTATCTATCAATCTATCTCTCTCTCTCTCAATATATTTCATTTATCTATCAATCTCTCTCTCTCTCAATATATTATCTATCAATCTATCTCTCTCTCAATATAATTTATCTCAATCTCTCTCTCTCTCAATATGTTTCATTATCTATCAATCTATCTCTCTCTCTCAATATGTTTTTATCTATCAATCTATCTCTCTCTCTCTATCTCAATCTATCTCTCTCTCAATATTTTCATTTATCTATCTATCTCTCTCTCTCAATATGTTTCATTATCTATCTCTCTCTCTCTCTCTCTCATTACACTTCATTATCTATCTCTCTCTCTCTCAATATGTTCATTTATCTATCAATCTATCTCTCTCTCTCAATATTTCAATCTATTCTCTCTCTCAATCTATCTCTCTCTCTCTCTCTCTCTTCATTATCTATCAATCTATCTCTCTCTCTCTGTTTCAATATCTATCAATCTATCTCTCTCTCTCAATATGTTCATTCTCTCTCTCTATCTCTCTCTCTTCTATCAATCTATCTCTCTCTCTCTCCTCTCTCTCAATCTCTCTCTCTCTCATCTTCATTATCTATCAATCTCTCTCTCTCTCTCAATATGTTTCATTATCTATCAATCTATCTCTCTCTCTCTCATATTTCATTATCTATCAATCTCTCTCTCTCTCAATATATTCTCTTATCTTTCTTATCAATCTATCTCTCTCTCCAATATGTTTTATCTATCAATCTCTCTCTCTCTCTCAATATGTTCATTATCTATCAATCTATCTCTCTCTCTCTAATATGTTCATTATCTCTCTCTCTCTCTCTCTCTCAATATCTTTCATTTCTCTCAATCTATCTCTCTCTCTCAATATGTTCATTATCTATCTCTCTCTCTCTCTCTCTCAATATGTTCATTATCTATCAATCTCTCTCTCTCTCAATATGTTCATTATCTATCAATCTATCTCTCTCTCTTCTCTCTATCAATCTATCTCTCTCTCTCTCAATATATTTCATTATCTATCAATCTCTCTCTCTCTCAATATGTTCTATCATTATCTCTCTCTCTCTCTCTCCAATCTTCTTTCTATCTATCTCTCTCTCTCTCAATATGTTTCATTATCTATCAATCTCTCTCTCTCTCTCATATGTTCATTATCTATCTATCAATCTATCTCTCTCTCTCTCAATATATTTCATTATCTATCAATCTGTCTCTCTCTCTCTCTCAATATCTTCTCTCATTATCTATCAATCTCTCTCTCTCTCTCTCTCAATATTTCATTATCTATCAATCTTCTCTCTCTCAATATGTTCATTTAATCTATCAATCTCTCTCTCTCTCTCTTTTTCATTATCTATCAATCTCTCTCTCTCTCTCAATATGTTCATTTATCTATCAATCTATCTCTCTCTCTCAATATGTTTTATTTATCTATCAATCTATCTCTCTCTCAATATGTTTCATTATCTATCAATCTATCTCTCTCTCTCTCAATATTTGATTATCTATCTCTCTCTCTCTCTCTCAATATTTTCATTATCTATCAATCTATCTCTCTCTCTCAATATGTTTCATTATCTATCAATCTCTCTCTCTCTCAATATATTTCATTATCTATCAATCTCTCTCTCTCTCTCATTATCTATCAATCTATCTCTCTCTCATCTATCAATCTATCTCTCTCTCTCTCAATATGTTTCATTTATCTATCTATCTATCTCTCTCAATATGTTCATTATCTATCAATCTCTCTCTCTCTCTCAATATTTTCATTTATCTATCAATCTCTCTCTCTCTCAATATGTTCAATATCTATCAATCTCTCTCTCTCTCAATATGTTCATTTTATCTATCTAATCAATCTCTCTCTCTCTCTCTATTCTTATCTATCAATCTCTCTCTCTCTCAATATTTCATTATCTATCAATCTCTCTCTCTCAATATTTCATTATCTTTCAATCTCTCTCTCTCAATCTGTTCTCTCTCTATCAATCTCTCTCTCTCTCAATATATTTCATTATCTATCAATCTCTCTCTCTCTCTCCAATATGTTCATTATCTATCAATCTATCTCTCTCTCTCAATATATTTCATTTATCTATCAATCTCTCTCTCTCTCTCTCAATATTTTCATTTTCAATCTATCTCTCTCTCTCAATATGTTTCATTATCTATCAATCTATCTCTCTCTCTCAATATATTCATTTATCTCTCTCATCTCTCTCTCTCAATATTTCATTATCTATCAATCTATCTCTCTCTCTCAATATATTTCTATATCTATCAATCTATCTCTCTCTCTCTCAATATATTTCATTATCTATCAATCAATCTCTCTCTCAATATTTCAATTATCTCTCAATCTCTCTCTCTCTCTCTCTCCAATATCAATTCATTTATCTATCAATCTATCTCTCTCTCTCTCTCAATATGTTCTTTTATCTATCAATCTATCTCTCTCTCTCTCAATATGTTTCATTATCTATCAATCTCTCTCTCTCTCAATATGTTTCATTATCTCATGCTCTCTCTCTCTCTCTCTCTCAATATGTTCATTATCTATCAATCTATCTCTCTCTCAATCTCTTCATTTATCTATCAATCTATCTCTCTCTCTCTCTCAATATGTTCTCTCTCAATCTATCTCTCTCTCAATATGTTTCATTATCTATCAATCTATCTCTCTCTCTCATATGTTCATTATCTATCAATCTATCTCTCTCTCTCTCTTATCTCAATTCTCTCTCTCATCTTTCAATCTATCTCTCTCTCTCTCTCATATGTTCATTATCTATCAATCTATCTCTCTCTCTCAATATCTATCTCTCTCTCTCAATCTTTCCTCTCTCTCTCTCTCTCTCTCCATTATTTCTATCTATCTCTCTCTCTCTCTCTCAATATGTTTCATTATCTATCAATCTATCTCTCTCTCTCTCAATATGTTCATCTATCTATCAATCTATCTCTCTCTCTCAATCTATCTCTCTCAATATCTCTCTCTCTCTCTCTCTCTCAATATTTCATTATCTATCAATCTCTCTCTCTCTCTCAATATGTTCATTATCTATCAATATATCTCTCTCTCTCTCTCTCAATCTATCTATCATCTCTCTCTCTCTCCAATGTTCATTATCTATCAATCTATCTCTCTCTCTCAATATGTTTCATTTTCTATCAATCTCTCTCTCTCTCAATATTTTCATTATCTATCAATCTCTCTCTCTCTCTCTCTCAATATGTTCATTATCTCTCTCTCTCTCTCTCTCTCTCTCTGTTCATTATCTATCAATCTCCTCTCTCTCTCTCTTTGTTTATTATCTATCAATCTATCTCTCTCTCCAATATGTTCATTATCTATCAATCTCTCTCTCTCAATATTTCATTATCTATCAATCTCTCTCTCTCTCTCTCAATATGTTCTCTCTCTCTATCAATCTATCCTCTCTCTCTCAATATCTTTCATTATCTATCAATCTCTCTCTCTCTCAATATGTTCATTATCTCTCTCTCTATCTCTCTCTCTCAATATCTTCATTATCTATCAATCTCTCTCTCTCTCCAATATGTTCATTATCTATCAATCTATCTCTCTCTCTCTCCAATATGTTTCATTTATCTATCAATCTATCTCTCTCTCTCCAATATTTTCATTATCTATCAATCTATCTCTCTCTCTCTCAATATGTTCATTTTCTATCAATCTATCTCTCTCTCTCAATATTTCATTATCTATCAATCTATCTCTCTCTCTCTCCAATTATCATCAATCTCTCTCTCTCAATCTCTCTCTCTCTCTCAATATCTTCTCTCTCAATATCAGTCAATCTCTATCAATCTCTCTCTCTCAATATGTTCATTATCTATCAATCTATCTCTCTCTCTCAATATATTTCACTATCTCACCCTCTCTCTCTCTCAATATGTTCATTATCTATCAATCTATCTCTCTCTCTCTCTCATATGTTCATTATCTATCAATCTATCCCTCTCTCTCTCTCAATATGTTCATTATCTATCAATCTATCTCTCTCTCTCAATATGTTCATTATCTATCAATCTATCTCTCTCTCTCCAATATGTTCATTATCTATCAATCTATCTCTCTCTCTCTTCTCAATCTCTCTTCAATATGTTCATTATCTATCAATCTCTCTCTCTCTCTCAGTATATGCATTATCTCCAATCTCTCTCTCTCTCTCTCTCTCACTCTCTCTCTCTCTCTCCAATCTATCATTATCTATCTCTCTCTCTCTCTCAATATTTCATTATCTCTCTCTCTCTCTCTCTCAATATGTTCATTATCTCTCAATCTCTCTCTCTCAATCTCTCTATCTCTCTCTATCTCTCAATCTCCTCTCTCTCTCTCTCAATATATTCTCTCTCTCTCTCTATCAATCTCTCTCTCTCTCTCTCAATATGTTCATTATCTCTCTCTCTCTCTCTCTCTCTCTCAATATTTCATTATCTATCAATCTCTCTCTCTCTCTCAATATGTTCATTATCTCTCAATCTCTCTCTCTCTCAATATGTTCGCTCTCTCTCTCTCTCTCTCTCTCTCTCTCTCTCTCTCTCATTATCTCTCAATCTCTCTCTCTCTCTCTCAATATCTCTCTCTCTCCCATTTCTTTATCTCAATCTCTCTCTCTCTCTCTCTATCTCCAATCTTACACTCTCTCTCTCTCTCAATATGTTCTCAATCTCCTCTCTCTCTCAATATATATTTCATCTATCTTTCTCTCTCTCTCTTCTCTATGTTCTTATCTCTCTCTCTCTCTCTCTCTCCCATATTACACTCTCTCTCTCTCTCTCTCTCCAATATGTTCATTATCTATCTCTCTCTCTCTCTCTCTCAATATGTTCATTATCTCTCTCTCTCTCTCTCTCATCTCTCCATTTCATTATCTATCAATCTATCTCTCTCTCTCTCCAATATTTCATTCTCTCTCTCTCTCTCTCTCATATTTTCATTATCTCTCTCTCTCTCTCTCTCTCTCAATATTACTCTCTCTCTCTCTCAATCTCTCTCTCTCTCTCAATATTACATTATCTATCAATCTCTCTCTCTCTCCCAATATCTCATTATCTATCTCTCTCTCTCTCTCTCCATATATTCATTATCTATCAATCTCTCTCTCTCTCCAATATTTTCATTCTCTCTCTCTATCTCTCTCTCTCCAATATGTTCATTATCTATCAATCTATCTCTCTCTCTCTCTCCATATTTCATTATCTATCTCTCTCTCTCTCTCTCTATTTCATTATCTATCAATCTCTCTCTCTCTCTCAATATTACACTCGCTCTCTCTCTCTCTCAATATTACACTCTCTCTCTCTCTCTCTCCTCTCTATTTATCTATCTATCTCTCTCTCTCTCTCCCATGTTATTATCTATCAATCTCTCTCTCAATATCTTCATTATCTATCAATCTATCTCTCTCTCTCAATATGTTCATCTCTATCTCAATCTCTCTCTCTCAATAATTTCATTATCTATCAATCTATCTCTCTCTCCATTATCTATCAATCTCTCATCTCTCAATATTTCATTATCTATCAATCTCTCTCTCTCTCAATATTTCATCCTATCTCTCAATCTATCTCTCTCTCTCTCTCTCTCTCATTATCTATCAATCTATCTCTCTCTCAATATTACACTCGCTCAATCTCTCTCTCTCAATATCTTTCAATTATCTATCAATCAATCTCCAATATTCTCTATCAATCTCTCTCTCTCTCTCTCAATATCTTTCATTATCTCTCTCTCTCCAATATTCATTATCTCAATCTCAATCTCTCTCAATATGTTCATTATCTATCAATCTCTCTCTCTCAATATGTTCATTATCTATCAATCTCTCTATCTCTCTCTCTCTCTCTCTCAATATCTATCAATCTATCTCTCTCTCTCTCCAATATTACACTCTCTCTCTCTCTCCAATATTACACTCTCTCTCTCTCTCTCTCTCTCAATATTATCAATCTATCAATCTCTCTCTCTCTCAATATGTTTCATCTATCAATCTCTCTCTCTCTCAATATTTCATTATCTATCAATCTATCCTCTCTCTCTCTCAATATGTTCATTATCTATCAATCTAATATCTCTCTCTCAATATGTTCCATTATCTATCAATCTATCTCTCTCTCTCAATATTATTTCCATTCCTCCTCTCTCTCCAATATCTCTCACTCTCTCTCAATATGTTCATTATCTATCACTCTATCTCTCTCTCAATATGTTCATTATCTATCAATCTATCTCTCTCTCTCTCTCAATATGTTCATTATCTATCAATCTATCTCTCTCTCAATATGTTCAATATCTATCAATCTATCCCTCTATCTCTCTCAATATGTTTGTTTATCTATCAATCTCTCTCTCTCTCCAATATTCATTTATCTATCAATCTCTCTCTCTCTCTCAATATTTCATTTATCTATCAATCTCTCTCTCTCTCTCTCAATATGTTCCTCAATCTGTTATCTATCAATCTCTCTCTCTCAATATTTCATTTATCTATCAATCTATCTCTCTCTCTCAATATTACCTTCTCACCCCTCTCTCTCTCTCTCAATATCTTTCTCACCAATCTCTCTCTCTCTCTCCAATATCATTTATCTATCCTCTCTCTCTCTCAATATGTTTCATTATCTATCTCTCTCTCCATCTCTCTCTCTCTCTCTCTCAGTATTACACCTATCTCTCTCTCTCTCTCTCAATATTACACTCATATCTATCTCTCTCTCTCTCTCTCTCATATTTCATTATCTATCAATCAATCTCTCTCTCTCTCAATATTACTACCATCTCTCTCTCCAATATTACGCTCTCTCTCTCTCTCCAATATTACACTCGCTCTCTCTAATATTACACTCGCTCACTCTCTCTCTCCGATATTACACTCTTGTTTTTTTGTCGCTCTTTCCTACGCAGCCCATGTCTCTGCTTTCTCATTCTTTCCTGCCTATCCACTCTCTCTCTTACCTATTTTCTCCACCCACCTGATCTTTTTCTACCCAACTCCTTCTCTTACCTATCTTCCTTGTCCCTTCCTTTTCCCTTGCTTTTCCTCCCCTGCCTGCACACTCCCTCTTTCTCTGACTCTCTTTTTCCAATCTCTCTTCAACATGTGTGCATTTCTTTGATTATCCCTTCTTTCTCTCTCTCTCTCCTTCTCTCTTTTTTTTTTTTGTTTGTTTTTCACATGCATTTGGTATTCTCCCGTTTTCTCTCTGTACATCTCAATTTTTTTCTGCTTTCAGTATGCAATGAGGAATTAACTCATCGAATGAAAGGACGTACAGTGATGGATGAACATGAACGTTATGAAGCAGTGAGACATTGTCGTTATGTTGATGAATTAATCACTGATGCTCCCTGGACCATTACAGATGAATTCCTTGAAAAACACAAGGTAAAAAGCAATTCAAAGCAAAAAGTGAACAGGAATACTTCAAATCAGTATGGGATACACAACAAGGATAATGGAACTGCTTACATAGCAGTAATGGTTAACTCGTATGTCTTGTGACTTTTTACCATTGTCTCATGTCAAGGTGTTTAATGTTGGTCAGTAACTGCTTAAAAAATTTGAGATTTTGCAACATATCTAACTTATTTACATTGTTCAGACTGTTCACCTCATCTTTGTCATATTCACAAAGTTTCGGCTGTTGTATGCTTCTGCTTTCTTCAGGTGAGAAACATTGGAATTTAAAACCGAACCCTTTCTTTAGTCTACTGGTGTAGATTATTCTAATTCCATGTACCATGCTTTTTCTGGATATATCAGTTTCAGTTATTTTCCTTTAGTAACTCAACACTCCAAGTTTTTGTTCATTTCTGCTGTGGCCAGGTATTGAACTCTTTTGGTCAAGTCATTTGATTATTTTGACCAACATTTTTATCCACTGGGCCATGTGTCCTTGAGTTCAATCCCTGGCCACAGCAGAGGAAGGAACAAAAACTTGGTGAGTTGAGTTACTAAAGGGAATCAACTGAACCTGAGATATCAGAAAAAGCATAACTTTGATCTGGGGCTAATCTACCCCAGTGGACTAAAAAAAAAGGGTTTAACAAATTCCAACGTACATCACCTGAAGAAGGCTGGGAGTGTACAATGGTTGAAATGTGAATATGACAATAAAAATGAGGGCAACTGTCCAAACAATGTAAATAGTTACAATACATCATCTCAGAAATATAGACAGATATTCAACTTAATTTGAGCAATCTGATTGATGAAAATATTTAAATAATTTATCAAACATTTCAAGAACATTTGATAAATTGTCATATAAACTATTTTTTGAGATCCCCCCCAATGGATATAAAAAAAAAATTGATTCCAAATGCATTATTACACATTGGTGTCACATTCCATTTAGTTTTCAAAAGATAACACCATCCTGGGTATGATGTTAAACTACATCTGCATCCTGGGTAAGACGATAAATTATGTTCAACAGCAAGGCCTCTGATCAGGAGATTTTGAGGAGCGTGGAACCCCCTCTTAATTGCTGGTGTTCCCAGGTCCACCCTGACCTGGGGTGGTAGCACCTGTTAGGGTCCCAGCTATAGGCAAATAGTTAACACCCAGACTACATCTGCATCATGGGTATGATGATAAACTACATCTGCGTCCTGGGTAAGATGATAAACTACATCCAACAACAAGGCCTCTGATAATGTTTTTGAAAAAATATTACCAACTCTACATTTTTGGAAAAAAATCTTAACAGAAATAGATTTTTGACAAAACAAGAATATTACCAGGGAAAGAAAAAGTTGTCGGCATTAAATGACCCATTGAGGTGTTGATATGCCGTAAAACAAACCAAACAAAAGATAATACTTTTAGAAAAATAATACAATCTGCTTCTTAAAACACTAAAAATATTTTCTCAAAACCCAAAGATGACTTATTTGAGTTAAAAACTTGGGACAAAACACCACATGAATTTTGGCCAATTCATCCACATGCAACAACCACATTTATGAAAGGATGTTTGTACATTAGGAAAAAAATCATTAAATATAATAGCCACAAAATGTCTGTTTTAACAATATATTTTTAAAAGAACAATTACTGCCCAACTATCTTCTATGTACCATGTCGTTTCAGGCTCTCTACAACTTCCTGTCCTTTGTAGCTCTTAATAAATTTTGTCTTTTTGTTACTTCATAATCTTTGTTCCATGATCCATTTACTCAAGCTTGCTAGGTAGGTTATGCATTTTTTTTCTTCTGTCCCTCTTGTATTCAATCTATCCTGTGAGTATCAAATTTTCCAAGCTCTTTTTTCCTGATTAAGGTCATGGCACCCTTCCTGTGCATAAGTGAAAGTTTTTGTGCCAGTATGTCATGTTAGTTTCCAGCTATTACACCTAGAGTACAGACATGTAGTGTGCTCTCATTGGATTTTCATGCAAGATGACCTAAGACATTAATCAGAGCTATTGCATCAAGTTTTGTCAAAAGCTTAGTGATTCTCAAGCTCAACTCATCCAGAAAATTCAGCAGTGATGATGCCATGGGCAAAATTTAGATCAAGGAGTGGTACAACCACTTCAAAAATGGCTGTGCTTCAGTGGCAGACCCTCCACAAGCTGAAATTGGAATAAGCACAGGATGAGCACATTCCATTTTAACAGAGGATTTGTGCATGTGGAGAGTTTTCAGTAAAATTCATCCCTAAGGAGATAGCAGAGCAGCAGAAGAAATTCCACATGGAAATCATGTGGTTTTTCAGATTGGGGAAAAGCCAGAAGTCACATGGTGCAAAGTCAGAAGAGTAGAATGTCTGTCAACCAAGTGATATGTTGTTCTTCACCAGGAACGCTTGGTGTAATATCTCTACTCAATGTGTTCAATCATACAGTGTGAAAATGAAAATCTGACAAACGTACACTACACATCTGTACTGTGGGCATAACAGACGGGGACTGATATGACCCACACATGTGCAAACTTTCACACATGTGCAAGAAGGGTGGCATCACCTCCGGCCCAAAGGATTTTGCCCACGCAGCCTTACTTTTGGCAGGAAAAAATAGTCAGATAGTTCTTGAATGCACTTCATAAATATAAAAAGTGATTTTTTTTTTTTTTTTTTTTTTGTTGGGAGTGAATAACTTGTTTTTGCTATTGGGAAGTATGTTTATTGATGTTATTCCTACAAGAATGAAAGAAATATAAAATGCTGAAATGTTTCTTAATGATTTCTAATTGAATACTGTTAATTACTGTAGCAGGGTTGTCTAATTAATGTAGCTTCATTACTTGTCAGCAAATTCTTTCTTTTTACAAGTGACTGAGAAACTAGAAAATACCTTTTTTTTTTCTTTTCATTTGTTTTTCTTTTTTTAATCTTTTTCATCTTTTTCTTTCATCTTTGTTTTTCTTTCTTTCATCTTTGTTTTTCTTTCTTTCATCTTTGTTTTTCTTTCTTTCATCTTTGTTTTTCTTTCTTTCATCTTTGTTTTTCTTTCATCTTTGTCTTTCTTTCATCTTTGTCTTTCTTTCATCTTTGTCTTTCTTTCATCTTTGTCTTTCTTTCATCTTTGTCTTTCTTTCATCTTTGTCTTTCTTTCATCTTTGTCTTTCTTTCATCTTTGTCTTTCTTTCATATCTTTTCTCTCTTCTTTTTCTCTTCTTTCTCTCTCTTTTTTTTTCACTCTCTCTCTTTTTTTTTCACTCTCTCTCTTTCACTCTCTCTCTTTTTTTTTCACTCTCTCTCTTTTTTTTTCACTCTCTTTTTCAGTTAGTTCTATCAATAATTTCATCTCCCCAAAATTCTTTCCACCTAACATTTAACTGTGCTGGTTCACAAATTAAGTCTATTTGTTTTCTTTTATCTGTTATCTTTTTCTTTTCTGTCCTTTGTCTCTCTTTTTTTTTCTATTTTGGTCCTATTAATAATTCCATTCACCCACAATTCTTTCCATCTAAAATTTAACTGTGCTGATTCAAATGAAGTCTATTTGTTATTTTTTTTTTTAAAAAGTCAGACAATTCATTCAAATAACAGCTACAGATATATTGATATCTTAATTATTGTCTTTTTTTTTCTTACCAGCTGCACATATCTCTTTTTTATTTCTTCACTTTATACCTTCCATATTGATAATTTTACTTTAAATATTTTACCACCTGTAATATGGATAAAGTACATTTGAATTAAAACAACAAATATAAAGATAATTGTCAGAATAATTCATGGAATAATTAAAAATATTGCCTGGTTGAGTTTAAATTTTAAACAGTCTTTTACAAGTCTGTTTTTCTAATGGACATCAGTTATTCATATTCTTGTACATACCAAACATGTCTACACCCAGATTTCAGTTAAGAAATCAAATACAGCAATTAATAAAAAGCACATATGGCATTGCTGATAGGATGTTTAAGTTGCTTGTGAAGCTTTGAATCCGGCATTTTACATCTCAAGCTAGGGCTAAAGAATTGAAAAGGCAACCATGCAAGGGGAGGATAAAATAAAATAACTTACCACTTGCAAGCTTAGGCAGTTGGTGAAGCTATAACGAAAATTTCTGTTATGGCATACCCCAAACAATTGAAGAAGTTGACTACTGATCAGTGTTGTAGAAGAAAACTATACAACAAGGCGATGGATTTGAACAGTGGCCCATTGGAGTTGAGATTGTACAAAAGTTTCCATATGTATGATGGGTTGAATTAAGTTGTCTGGTCTTGCAGTTGACTTCAGTTCCACTAATCAGGATTGTTTATTAATCATCTGCATTGTCAGATGAACCACTGCTTTGTGGCACCAACTGCCAAGAAGATGCTTCCTCAATTACTGCAATCTTAACCTGTTCGTCTAGGGTCAACCGTTATCTTACC